ACATCTCTTGTGCAAAGCACATGCCTGTGTAGATGCTCTCTTCTGGAAGAGTTTTTGCACAAGAACTCTTCCGCAAAAGAGTTCTTGTGCAAGAAGCTGCCAGTGTAGACGTAGCCTTTGAGTGTAGAAAAGAACCCTTTAATAAAAGGGGAGGGAAGTGGTGTGGCATTAATTTGGGAAACACCACAAGCAGAGTTCATAACCAAAACCATGAACAAAAGTCCCATCCCAAGTAGGTTGGGAGGTGTCCTTTTCCTCTGAGGTTCTTAAATCTACCAATGTAAATGTTCCTGTTACATCCCCAACCCTCCTCTGCACCCTGCTCACAATTGCTGCCCTTCTCAGGGGAGACCCAGAGTTCAGAGGTGCATCCACAGAGTTCACCTCCCATCCTGAGTGGGGGGAAGGTAAGGAGGCATCTTACTCACTCTGCTGCTCACTCGCCATCCACCTGCTCACTGCCACTGCCCTGCTGGCCATTCGTCTCACCTCTCTGCTGACAGCTCCTTATGTCTCTCCATTGCCACTCTGCTGTTTGCTCATTGTGCTGCTGCCACTTGTCACATCTTCCACTGGCTTCTGGTGGATTTGGCTCAGGGCCAAACTAGTGATTTTAGCTCTTGGCCCAAAGCACAGTCCTGACACAAGAAATTCCAGAATCCACTGGAGTAAATTTAAAATAATAAAGAGACTCCTTATGGAGTCGGCTCTAGTTCTATCATTACAGCTCATGTCTGGAGAGCATGTAACTTCTCAGAGCTTTGGGAGACGAAACCTTGTCCATCTGAGATTCTTAACACTGAAAGTTTCTCTCCTTTGAACTCAATCATAGAATCATAGAGCTGCAAGAGACCTCAGGAGGTCATCAAGTCCAGCCCCCTGCCCAAAGCAGGACCAATCGCAACTAAATCAACCAGCCAGGGCTTTGTCAAGATGACACTTAAAAACCTCTAGGCATAGAGATTCCACCACCTCCCTAGGTAACCCATCCCAGTGCTTCACCACCCTCCTAGTGAAATAGTTTTTCTTAATATCCAACCTAGACCAACTTGAGACCATTGCTCCTTGTTCTGCCATCCATCACTCCGGAGAACAGCCTCTCTCCATCCTCTTTGGAACCTCCCTTCAGGAAGTTGAAGGCTGCTATCAAATCCCCCCTCACTCTTCTCTTCTGCAGACTAAATGAGCCCAAATCCCTCAGCCTCTCCTCATAGGTCATTTGCTCCAGCCCCCTAATCATTTTGGTTGCCCTCCGCTGGACCCTCTCCAATGAGTCCACATCCTTTCTGTAGTGGGGGAGGAGGGGACAGAACTGGACACAGATGTGGCCTCACCAGAGCCAAATACAGGGGAATAATCACTTCTCTAGATCTGCTGGCAATGCTCCTTCTAATGCAACCTAATATTCCATTCGCCTTCTTGGCTACAAGGGCACACTGTTGACTCATATTCAGCTTCTCATCCACTGTAATCCCCAGCTCCTTTTCTTCTGAACTGTTACTTAGCCATTCGGTACCTAGCCTGTAAAAAAGCTTGGGATTCTTCCATCCCAAGTGCAGGACTCTACACTTGTCCTTGTTGAACCTCATCAGATTTCTTTTGGCCCAATCCTCTAATCTGTCTAGGTCACTCTGGACCCTATCCCTGCCCTCCCACGTATCTACCTCTCCCCCTTAGTGTCATCCACAAACTTGCTGAGGGTGCAATCCATCCCCTCATCCAGGTCATTAATAAAGATGTTAAACAAAACTGGCCCTAGAACCGATCCTTGGGGCACTCCACTAGAAACCTGACATGAAGCCGTTAATCACTACCCATTGGGCCTGACAATCTAGCCAGCTTACATCAATCTTACAGTCCATTTATCCAATCTATACTTCCTTAACTTGCTGTCAAGAATATTGTGGGAGACTGTATCAAAAGCTTTGCTAAAGTCAAGGTATATCACATCCACTGACTTCCCCATGTCTACAGAGCCAATTACCTCATGATAAAAGCTAATTAGGTTGGTCAGGCTCGGCTTGCCCTTGGTGAATCCATGTTGACTATTCCTGATCACATTCCCTTCTTCCAAGTGCTTCAAAATAGATTCCTTGAAGATCCTCTCCATGAATTTTCCAGGGACTGATGTGAGACTGACCGATCTATAGTTCCCTGGTTGTCCTTCTTCCCTTTCTTAAAAATGGGCACTACCTTTGCCTTTTTCCAATCATCTGGGACCTTTCCCGATCTCCACAAATTTTCAGAAATAATGGCCAAAAGATCTGAAATGACATTTGCCAAGTCCCTCAGTACACTCGGATGCATTAAATCCAGCTCCATGGATTTTTGTATGTCTAGCTTTTCTAAATAGTTCTTAATCTGTTCTTTCTCCACTGAGGGCTGCCCACCTCCGTCCCCTACTGTGTTGCCTGGAGCAGCAGTCTGGGAGCTGACCTCATCTGTGAAGACAGAGAGAAAAAAAGCATTGAGTACTTCAGATTTTCCCACATCATCAGTCATTAGGGCTATGTTTACGCTACAAGGTTTTTGAGCAAATACCTTGTAGTGTCCACACCTCAAGCGCGTTTTTGCGCAAAAAAAATTACAGTAAATAGACAGGACAGAGAGCTTTTACTGGTAGTTATTCCTCTCCCCACAAGGAATAACTCCTTTTTGTGCTACAGCTCTTGCACAAAAAGGCATGTGTGGATGCTCTGCAAGCATTTCTAGTGCAGAAAAATTAATAATGGCCATCAGAGCTTTCTCGTGCAAGAGTGTGCATGCAGTGTGGACTCTCTCTTGCGCAAAAGCACATCATTTTTGCGATGCGCTTTTGAGGTGTAGACGCGCTTATGCATAAGACATTTTTGCGCAAAATCCCCATCTTGCACAAAAGCTGTTCTTCCTAAAAAAAAAGCAGAACGGCTCTTGTGCAAGAGGGGGTTTTTGCACAAAAAGGAGCCATATAGATGGCTCCTTTTTGCTCAAAAGCCTCTTGCGCAAAAAGTGGCTGCTCATTAATTGTGCAAATGAGGCATGGCGATATTCCACACTTTGCCTCATTTGCATTTTTCTTGCGTAAAACAGCACAGTGTAGACGTAGCCTCAGTGTGTGACCTGCTTGCTTATTGCTGACTGTAAGCATCCCAGGAAGAGAGCTACAGAGGCAAAGTAATATGAGGCATAGCAGAGTAAATGGTGACACAGCCCACACCAGTCTGGATTGCCCCCCAACATCAAACCGTCAAAGGGAAAAATGCCAAATCTCGTTTAAGATTGAACTTGATCAATTTATAGATGAGATGATATGCTGAGATTGCTTACAATGGCATGTGGCCCATCTATGACTGCTATCAAGAAATATCTCCAGTGACAGGCAGGGCCCTCAGATGGGGGCGGGGAGGGAGAAAGATACACTTTATCTGGGGGTCCAGCCCAGCCTGCAAATTGTGGTATGTATGTGGGAGGGGGCCTGTGCTTGGGCCCTGACAACAGGAGATGAGATGCTAAATGGGATGGGTTCTGAGTTACTAGAGAGAATTTGTTCCCAGGTATCTGGCTGATGGGTCTCACCCATGTGTTCAGGGTCTAACTAATGACCATATTTGAAGTACTTTCTTCTAAGACTGTCTGAGACCATAAGGGTTTTCACCTTCCTCTGCAGCGTGGAGAACAGATCTTTCGTTAGTTTGAACTAGAGTTCACGCCCATGTTCCTGGGCTGCTCTCCTGCTTTCCGTTCTGGGTCTAGTTTTAGACAATGACATCCTCTTAGCTCCATGTCCACGGTCCTGGGATGCTCATGTCTCATTGAACATGTTTCACACCTCCTCTTTTTCTGTCTTCTAATCTGCAGAAGCCTCTGCAGGTCTGGAGGTTGTGCTGAAGGCCTCTGTCAGGCATGCAAAGCACAAGGCCGCTATTTTCAGTGCATGCCTGTCCTGGGTCTAGGACAAAGGTGCTATTTAATAATCACTCCCTTTGTTACACTGAAGTGTAAGTCAGAACTGAATTAGTCTCCTTAGCTGTTCAATGAACAAGTTTGCTGTTCCCGTCATGGTGAGTGTGGCACAGTGGCATGAGCAATGGGCCCTGTGCTGCAACTTCTGGGCAACCCTCGTCAGGAGCACAGGTGGACAATGGCCCCACCCCCAGCACCATGGCCGGTGTGTTTAGCCTCCTTAAACCTGGTCTTTGTCCGAAGCTTGGCTCCGGGGCAGAGGGAATTGTGGCTGTGAAAGAACACAGGAATCCTAACCTCCCTTCTCCTAACTCTGCTGGTAGCAGTTGCCCTGGGCTTGCAGATTCTGAGGTCAATGTCAATCCCTGCACATAGGCCATGGCTGAGGGACCCAGAAATCACTGTGAGTGGGGGGATCATATGCTATATTGCTTGGGGGTATGAGCACATGTAATGAAAACTTCCACAGTCTGCCTGAGGTGACCCTATGTGATATCAGTCTCCTGACAGCCACAGAGGTGGCAACTGAGCCAATGCTGCAAGTGTCTGGGTACAGACCTGGTCCTCATGCTGCTATGCTGTGCCCTTATGCTGCTATGCTGTGTACTGAGATGATTCCAGCAGAATTAATGCTAGAGTGGCATGGGAAAGTGTCCTACTATGGTGGAAGAAATAAGGCAGCCCTTCCCAGCAACCTTCTGCATTGTATCCCCATGAAAGTTTCCTGGAGATCTGCACAGAGGATTCCCAGGCCATCCCTGTGCACACAAACTGTGTTTTTTAGGGGACACCCTCTGCATAGTCGGCCCCAATGGCACTCAAATACCGACACACTTCATTTTTATCCTCATATTAAACATAAAGTATAAGAGCATGTAATCCCTTCTATATGATTGGAATTCCATACTCCCCAGTGGTGCCTTCCCTGGCATCACACTTGGCCAAGATGCTGTCCTACATCTGGCTGGGTTGCTTGAGGTTAGAAATAGCTCCTGGATCTCAGGGAGAAACCATCCCACTCACCTTTCCCCCGTTTTCCTCCTCTCCCGGCTCCAGAATGTCCTCCTCGTTGGTGCCTGAGGAGGCCCAGGACTCAGACTCCTGTGTGGTATCCATGCTACATTTGGGGTAGTAGAGGGGTCACCACTGAGAATCCAGTGCAGCTCATTGAAGAAGAGGCACGTCGGAGGTGCAGAACCAGAATGACTGTTCATCTCCTTTGTCTTGTGATATGCCAGTGAAGTTCTTTGACATTTACGTGGCCCTGCTGCATGTCCCTGGCATAGACCTCCTCCCCCAGACCTCATGAAAGCTTTTTGTAGGTGTCAACGTTTCTGTTGCTGGATTAGAGCAGTGTTTGCATGGACTCTGCTCCCCACAGACAGACCAAGAAGATTTACCACATTCAATATTGTGGGATACCTCCTGGAGGCCAGTTCAGTTGATTTAAACAATGATGCATCTACACTACCTCTCTGTCAACCCATCAACATTGAATTAAGCACTATGCCTCTTGCGGAGGTGGAGAGATTAAGTCAACATTACAAGTGACTTAGGTCAGTAGAAGGGACCTTGTCCTGTCAGGCTAGGTTTATAGCGTAGGCCAGGCTTCAACTGCCCCCCCGCCCCAGTCTTCATGCACATCCTCCTTTGGGGCTGGATCTCTGCCAGACTGGCTGTGGCTGGGCTCTTGGACTGCTCCCTGGACCAATCCCTCCACTCAGAGTGGCACTTTCTTGCAGCTCAGCCCTGCACCCTCCTTCCAGCAAGCCAAGCTCCTGTTGAGTAAGGAGTCACTTGTCCCCCTTAAGCAGAGCTCAGCTTCCCACTTGAGCAGTGTAGACAGCCGGGTCTCTTGGGGCAGAGAGGACAGTTTCTCCCGACTGCCTACCCCCTAAATTGTCAGGGTTCTGGGGGACTGGGAAGCAGGGCTATTCCTCAGCAGTTGCCATGTGGAACAAGGCACAATAGAATGCAGGACAGTGGACTAGAAGCAGCATAGTCCTCTGCCAGAGCACTAACTGAGTCAGGAAGCTTGGGTAATGCTCCCCACTGATCTTCCTTTGCTCAGTGCTTTGAGATCTGGGAATGAAAACATTCCGTTAACACTTCCACTAGTCAGAGCTGGCAGCAACAAGGGCCAGGGATTCCTTCTCAACAACACAACACAAAACCAGCTCAAGCCCCCACCCAGAGACCTCAGACAATTATACATCACCCCCGGGGTACCTTGAAGAGGCACAGCACAAACAGTTCCACTGCCCTGGATTTACACCTCAAGAATAATAGCCCTTTATTACGCCTGCTCCATTAACAAAAGAGCTGGGGATACACCACCAAACAAAAGTGATCATTTAGACAAACAATCCCAGTAGGCTGAGCACCAAGGTAGAGGGCGGGGGAAAGAGAGACAAGCAAGATCAGCCCCTGTCGTCCTCTTCCATAGCCCATCACTAGATGTCAGCAGAGAGCTCATTCTCATCGTCATTGCTTACAATGAAATGGGCTCCTCGGCTTCCTTGTGTGCCGGCTTGTTCTGACATCATGAAGATCTAAAGATTAAAGATAAATGGATTAAGAATAAGGGGGAAAGTTGTGGCATCATTGAAGTAACAAGGCAGAATGTTTAAATAGCAACTGCTAAAGTTAAATATTTTTAAATCTGCAGAGCCAGATAACTTGCACAAAAGAGTGTTAAAGAAATTGGCCAAGGAGCAATCAAAGCCATGCTATTGATATTTACCAATGTTTGGAACACATGAGATTACTTAACCACTGGAACAATTTAACAAGAGCCGTGGTGCCTTCTCCATCACCATGCTTTTAAAAGTAAGATTGGATGTTTTTCCAACGGATCTTCTCTAGTTCAAATGCAGATCCAGGCTAGTCCTGTGGTCTGTGTTACTCAGGGGATCAGAGTAGATGAGCTCACTGACCCCTTCTGGCCTTGGAATCTGTGAATCCATTTGCAAACCTTCCATTATGCACATGCGCAAATTATGTGGCTTCTGTGCCTCCATTTTCTCTTCTTGTAATATGGGGGCAACAATAACTTATCAGAAAGTGATTGTAAGTTAATGTTCTTAACATCTGTGACCCCCTCAGACAAAAGGTGCTGCCAAAATCATTAGTATATTATAAGGTCTTTGGGCCCAGGACCATCTGTTTATACAGCATAAATCACAATACAGACCTCAACCATGACTCAAATGCAAGGTGCAATCACAATACAAATTTATTTATTATTATTATTATTATTATCACCTTTCTGCAGGTTGACCACAGCAGAAACCATGATAAGTATTTTCCTTTCCGAAACATTTTAAAAAAATCTGTTTTTGTATGTAATATGTCTCAGCAGCATAAATCACTGAGCTTCTTCTCTAATAAAAACACCAACACCTGACATTGATGAAGTGCCTGGGTATTTGCAAAAAACAATAAGGGGGCCACTTATGCATACCCTGAACTTCTGACATTCCAGTACTTCTGATGCAGTTGAAGCCCATCCTCACCTGCATAATCCTCTCAGCAGCGTGATCTTGCTCACATGGTGTATGTGAGATCAAGTCACATGGAGAATACCATTTTGCACAGCACACTGCACTACCCCCATCACAGTGACTTTGTATGCAGACAGGCAGAGGCAATGATACCAGATAAAACCAGGTACAATGTCGGATAGGGCCAAACTGCTCCAAAAACAGGCTTAGTGCTGGGCAAATGGCCAGCCTGCCAAGCCATGAAAAAAAGGTTGGCCCATGGAGTTGGGGTGTTGCTATATTCTATGCAACTGGCATAAGAAGAATTCCTGTCTTTTACAGTTGCATGAAAACAGTAAGGCTACGTCTACACTATGAGTTTTCTCAGTAAAAAATATGCTAATGAGGGCTCATTTGCATGAGTCGTGATCTCATCTGCATATTTTCTGCTGATCCGTTTTTGTCCTGGGGTTTTTGCACAAAAAGAAGCAGCGTGGACCTTTTCTTTTTGTGCAAAAACTCCTTTTTCTGTAAGATTGTATACCGATCTTGCAGAAAAAGGGGTTTTTGCGCAAAAATAAAATGTCCACACTACTTCTTTCGCAAAAACCCCAGCGCAAAAACGGATCTGCAGAAAATATGCAAATGAGATTGCAACTCATGCAAATGAGTCCCTCATTAGCATATTTTTTGCCTAGAAAACTTGTAGTGTAGACGTAGCCTAACAGTGTGCTCCGGCAAGAAAGCCAAAGAGAATCGCTGCTGGGACTCAGGTATACAGCTGACACCGTTCCTTCAGGCTCTCAGGTGGAGTCATATTTTTATTAAGAGAGGTCTCCTTACTGTAGCTTAGCAGTGATCACCTTCTGGCAACCTTCCACAGTCTCTTCTGTTGATGCTGTTCTTGTGTGTATAAAATACTTGAATAACCATTGGAATACACAGGCACAATGCAAATGACTCTGTAATTTGGTGGTCAGAGTATTCACCTCGAAACCCACATTCAAGTGTCTGCTCCAATGAGCAGTCAAGTGGAACAGCTTCAAACCGGAGAGGTAAAGGAAGCTCTGCCTCTAAGCACTGCATAACCCAGAGGTCAGGGTGCCTCTTTCCCCACCCTGGGCAGTGGGCACCCAAGCTCAAATCCCTACTTCCCATCAGGCGAAGGTTGGGTTGCCAGGTATCCGGTTTTGAACCGGACAGTCCAGTATTTGAGCTTTCTGTTCGGGAACCAAATAGAGAAAATATAAATGTCGGGTATTTTCTCAATAAGATGCAATGTAGATTGTGATGTAATATCAAGTGTGTCCGGTATTTTTGTTGAAACCATCTGGCAACGCTAGGTGAAGGGGGGGATGGAACTCATGGCTCCCACATCCTTGCAGCAATAACTATGGCTCTAAATATTTTACAGGGAGCATCAATATCTCCTGTTTTGTGATACCAGCCCTTAAAAAAATGCTTGGAAGCGAAGTGTTTTGTTCCAAGTGAGGCTTTGACCAGCCAAACTCTGTTGATTTGCTGAAAGGTTGGGTATTTTTCTAGCTTTCATTTGAGTTTAACACTTTTTTTTTCCAATCACAACTGCCAACAACCAAAAAAAATCAGTTAGGGTACGTCTACACTACAGCGCTAATTCGAACTAACTTAGTTCGAATTAGTTAATTCGAACTAAGCTAATTCGAACTAATGCGTCTAGAACTAAAAACTAGTTCGAATTAGCATTTTGCTAATTCGAACTAGCATGTCCACATTAAGTGGACCCTGAACCAGGCTTAAGGATGGCTGGAACAACCAAAAAAAATCAGTTAGGGTACGTCTACACTACAGCGCTAATTCGAACTAACTTAGTTCGAATTAGTTAATTCGAACTAAGCTAATTCGAACTAATGCGTCTAGAACTAAAAACTAGTTCGAATTAGCATTTTGCTAATTCGAACTAGCATGTCCACATTAAGTGGACCCTGAACCAGGCTTAAGGATGGCTGGAAGCAGTGCCGGCAGGGCATCAGAGGAGGACTTAGAGCATGGAGATGCTGTCTCAGGCTAGCCGAGGGCTGCGCTTAAAGGGTCCTGACCCCCACCCCGGACAGACAGTTCTCAGGGGTGCCCCGCTTGCAAAGCAGTCCTGGCTTGGATTGCCCGGAGTGCCCACACTGGGCACATCACAGCACTCGGCCATCAGACCAGCTGCACTTGCCGCAGGCTGCCATCTGGGGAGAGGGGACAATTGGTGGGCTGCAGGAGAGCTTCTACCCCCAGAAGGCCGCAGAGCCAGCCCAGTCCTCCCCATCGGGGGCTTGTGCCCCATTCCTCCCTCACCTCCTTCCACTTACCCTTCCCTAGCCCCTTTTCTTGATGTACAAAATAAAGGACAATTGTGTTCAAAAATGGAATCTGTCTTTATTGAACAAAACTGGGGGAGACTGGGAAAAGGAGGTGGAAGAGGGGAAGAGAGAGGGTGGGAGAGGGGAGGGCAACTACAATGATCAGGGGTTGGGAACAGGTCCCAGATGAAGAGAGGCTACAGAGACTGGGACTGTTCAGCTTAGAAAAGAGGAGATGGAGCGGGGACAGGATAGAGGTCTCTAAAAGCAGGGGTTGGGTGGAGAGGGTGCATTCAGAAAAGTTCTTCATGAGTTCCCATAAAGAAGGACTAGAGGACACCAAAGGAAAGGAATGGGTAGCAGGCTTGAAACTAGTAAGAGAAAGTTGTTCTTCTTCCCAAAGCAAATAGTTAACCTGTGGAACTCCTTGCTGCAGGAGGCTGTGAAGGCTACAACTAGAACAGAGTTTAAAGGGAAGTGAGATCAAGTCATGGAGGTTGGGTCCATGGAGTAGTCTTAGCCAGGGGGTAGGAGTGGTGTCCCTGCCCAAAGTTTATGGAAGGCTGGAGAGGGATGGCACGAGACAAAGGGCTTGGTCACTGTCTTCCGTCCATCCTCTCCCGGGTCCCTAGGGTTGGCCGCTGTCGGCAGACAGGCTACTGGCCTTTGGTGTCCAGGCTGGCAGCTATCCTGCCCTAGACGGCCACTTTCCTGTGCCTAGTGCGGAGGTCGTGGACGTTGGAGGCCTCCCCCCCAAACCTGGATGAGGTCCACAATCTCCGCACTAGACTAGGTGGGCGCCCGCCTCTTGCGTGCCGGGCGGGGCCCCGGGGGCCCGCCAGCCTGGTCCTGGGAAGAGGCGGAGGCCTGGGTGGCAGGGGCTGGCGGGCTGGAGCCGTGCCAGGTGCAGGGTCTGCTAGCTGGGTGCTGGCATGCTTGCACCTGGCACGGGCACCGTAGCCAGCCTTTGCCACTTTAAGGGGTCCGGGGCTGGGAGGGGGGCAGAAGAGTTTCCCTGGTGTTGGCCAGAGTGGCCACCAGGGAAACCTGGGGAGGGCTAGCCTCCCACTAGTTCGAATAAGGGGCTACACACCCCTTAATTCGAACTAGCTAGTTCGAACTAGGCTTAATCCTCGTAAAATGAGGTTTTCCTAGTTCAAACTAAGCACTCCGTTAGTTCGAATTAAATTCAAACTAACGGAGCGCTAGTGTAGCGCCTATGAAAGTTAGTTCGAACTAACGTCCGTTAGTTCGAACTAACTTTGTAGTGTAGACATACCCTTATTTGCCCAACTCTTCTCACAACCTTCTTTGTCTTAACTAACTAAAAAAAACCTAGTGTTGCCTGCAACTTTTGTCTCCTCACTACTCAGCCCCTTTTCCAGATAATTTCAAATATTTAAAACCTGTCCTCTGAACTTTCAGCTAGATTCAATACAGTATTCTTCATTTTACTCTGACAGCATCCTGCCTGTCTCTTTAAAGTGTGTGCAGCCATTTTAACAGGTGGCCTCACTCTCCTGTGAGACAGGTCTTACTTCCTGTTTCCCCATCAGCCCATGCTCCAGTCCCTTAAATTAAGTTGCTGCTGAAGAAATGTCAGCAGGCAGGCTGGCTTGGAGAAGTCCCCATTCTCTTTAAGATGGTGTCCTGGTTTGTGTTCTGTC